CCATGATCAAGCTGCCAGAAAATTTGGTTTCAGGTAAGAGCTCTCTTCCTGGCTTGTAGACAAGCTACATTTTGTTGTGACCTCACATGGCCTTTACCCTGTGCTTGTTGGTGCAGAGATCTCTGGAGTTTCTTCTTCTTCTAATAAGAACACTACTCATATAGGATTAAGGCCCCACCTTTAATCACTAAGTCATTAAGAAAAAGACTAGGGACGTTTCACTGGCACTTTTTAAAAATTTAACTCGAATTCACTTGCATGATTTTCTTTCACATCCTATTAGTCAGGAAGTCACATGACCATACATAGCTGCAAGGGAGTCTGGGTAATAAAGTTTTAGGGCAGGTGAACTAAAACTAATAAAGAAAAGAGGTGAGAATGGATTTTGAACAGGTAGCTACTCTGTCACAGGGAACATAGGAAAACATTACACTTTTAGTGCCTAAATCCTGCTTTTTAAATATTTTATTTTAGAACTAAAAAGAAATGATAGCAAATGTTACTTTCCTGTGTGCCTTTAAATTATAGGGAGAGGAGAAAATTTTACCTATAAACTAGAAATAGTTTCCTTAAAAACTTTAAGAATATTCCACTTCAATGTGTAGATTTTATGTCTCAAATTAAGTGAAAAGTGGCTATATGTAGAAAATAAAGAAAAATCAGTAATTTACATGGTGGTAATCACCAGAAGAATTAGAAATAAAATCGTTTAAAATGGTTGCCTCTGGGGGTGAACAAGATGTGACATAAAAATTTACTTTTATTGTATGCCCTTCTGTACTATTACTTTTTAAAATATATGCACTAACTATTTTTAAGAATTATTTTTTATTAGATCATAACTTTGTACATTGATGCATTTATGGGATTCATGGTACTGCTTTGATATACAATGTGAAATGCTTACATTGAACCAAGTAACACATTCATCACAATTATGCTCATTTCTTAATAGTTTTGAAATGTACCATTGCATCATGCATATTAGGTGAGGTCCCCCTGAAGAAATTAAAATATTTAAAGAATGGACTTTCATAAAAATAAAGACTGAAAGTCTAATTTGAAATGAAGCAATGGGCTCGGTGCCTATAGCTCAGCAGCTAGGGTGCCAGCCACATACACCAGAGCTGGTGGGTTCCATCCCAGCCTGGGCCTGCCAAACAAAGATAACTACAACCAAAAAATAGCCAGACATTGTGGTGGGTACCTGTAGTCCCAGCTACTCAGGAGGCTGAGGCAAGAGAATCACTTGAACCCAAGAGTTTGAGGTTTCTGTGAGCTGTGATGCCACAGTACTCTACTGAGGGTGACAGTGATACTCTGTCTCAAAAGAAAAATAATAAAAATAAAATAAATGAAGCAATGAGTACAGAACTTAAAATAAATAAAATGGTAGATTCAAAAGTTACATTTTTTTACTTTGTTTTTATATCTTTGCTTTGATTATAAGAAATGAGAGGATATAGACCACTGTAAAAACCAAAGCATTTAATAAAAGACCTACCATAGGGATGATGGATGTAATGTTAGTTGGTCCATTCTTTTTTTTTTTTT